AAATTTAAAGATCTGATTTTATATTTGTGGTCTAATGGGGATTACTGAAAGAAGACCTGATTATCAAGTTACAATTCCCTCCACTCTCCAATAAAAACCCTCTCTAGGCAATCGTGTAAGTCGCGATTTACGTATTTTGTTCATGATACGTGAGCATTCGGCCTTCTGCAATTATTAAGCTCGCCTTGCTGATACTTGGAACATGTCATTTCGTTGCGTTGAAACAAGTAAACGCAATGAACGCACAATGCAAAACTGGAACGAAAACAAACTTCACACAGAAACTCAATAAGTTTCCAATCACGGTTGGTCGAATGAATTAACCCCCTTGTCAGAAGCTCCAAATGTCGACGTTCATTGCTGAGTGGACAAGGCTTAACTGATATTTATGGAGTGCTAATTGTTTCGAAATGTTTACTAACTGTTCATGGACAACGTTCGAAGGAGAAAAAGACCAAGTTACCCTTATTAAATACACTGGTTTTGTGTAAGCCGGGTCTAAAATACAGGTCACATTCCACAGGTTAACAATAGAAATCCCTACTCTACTGATGAATAACTATGCCAAAAGTTTCCTCTCGATCTAAAACAACATTTCCGCCGAGTGCTAGGGCTAATTAGGGCTAGGACACTGAATCTTGGTGCTGTTTATTTATCTGTAGCACAGTGACCTGTACCCTGATCTGTTGAATGCGACCTGTAGTTTAGACCCGCCGTTTTGTGTACAGTTCTTACCTTGTCAAGACGTAAAGAACGTTTTATTCGAGGCACGTCCATGCAAGGTTTGCTTGAAGTGAATTAACTTTTCGTGGAAGTGTTTGTGTTTCGTAACGGCTCCAAACGAAAGGACAGTCCAAAATGAAAGCTTGGTTCTTGTTCACAGAAGTGGCGAAGAGCCAAGTTAAATTTCCGCGGGTTGAATTTTTGAATAGAATGGTAGATGTACGACCAAGGAACCCGACGCAGCAAAGTTTCAGCGATGTGTAATTAGCAATTCAAATTTGCACACGTTTTGCGACCACGCACCGCACGGCTAATTAAATGCATTCGTTTGATTGGTTCGTCTTCTCATTGTAATAAGTGCGGGATATTTAAATTTCATTAGTATTTGAGAAGGAATATGAGTGAATAATTTTTGTGTTTGGAACCTGTGCAAAATTGGTTCCTGGAATTATTCCGACAATTCATATTCTGGTCACAAAGCAGAGGAACATTAGCGAAATCGATTATGACATCCGCTCTAAGACGCAAAATTAAATGTATATAATGTTAATTTGGTTTATTCCTACCCCGAAAAGTCATCGTCGCAGACGTTCTTTTGACTCGTCACGCGTTCCTTTCCCATAAGAAGAGGAACGCATGATGTGACATGATTTGGAGAGGAAGGATTGACATTATTTTGACATTCTGTTTTTTTCTGTTTTAATGCAAACTCATTTTAAGGTTTACTGGATAGAACAGAGTAATGGTTGCCCGACCTCATTCAATCCGCTCTGTTTGATTAGCACTAAAATAAAAAAAGCCTGCGTGTAGCCGTCCACTATGAACTTTGTTTTACACTATTCTGCGTGTAGGCTACATGCGTGTAAGCTACTGGAAATTCTCTTTGAACTAATGCCCTTCTAGAGTAAGGCGCTGTCCACACTTTGCAGGAGAAATTGGAAAACGGTGTTTTCACTCTGAAAACGTAACTTATCAAATATGTTTTCGTCCCCACTCCCCCGAGGAATTTAAAATTCGACAATCACCGGTCAGTTTGGATTTGAGCTTGAGGAAAACTCGGTCAGGGAAATCACATGATAAGCGTCATACAATCGTTTTGGAAAAGCTCCGTTTTTTTCATTGTTTTCCGCGCACACGAAAACGAAAGGCCGGCGTTTGCAAATTCCTCCGGTTTGAAGAACATTTTCGAAATGCTCCGTTAGTTAGTGTGGTCAATCGGCTGAACCGTAGAAATAAAACCGCGTTTTCAAATTTCTTGGGCGCAGTGTGGACGGTGCCTAAGCCTCCCTCTTTTTAAAAAGCCTTTTGGATGAAGATACTTATACAAGCCTCCCCCTTCCCTGTTACGCCTCCATGCCTTCTCTTTATTTCCTACACAGCCAATTGCCAGAATTTTAATACGCAAGAATGCACTTCTTGGGACAATAGCAGAATGCTTTGTGCTCTTAACACCAAAACACCCGCAAAAGGTCTGATGGCAGGTTAAATTCTACATTTTTATTCTTTCTCGACAGCTAACATGGATTAAGGCTTGATTGTCGCTTACTCAGAACAAAGGGATTTCAGCGTACAAACGATGATGCGCAGGGTGAACCAATTCTTGATGTTACTTTTTGCATTTTAGACGCGATGTGGTCTGGCTTTATGATAAGCAGGTTGCGTTGGACAACAATAGACATCCGTTTACAACAGCGCGTGGCCATATAGCGTTGTTAAACCAGTGATGTTTGACGATTCCTTGACAAATGATCTGGTACGTGGTAGGGAATATTGCTGACAATTTACTCAGGTAAATATAAGAATTCGATTTGATTTAAAGATAAATATGTTCGTAATTGATAGACCACGAGAGACCAAACACTGCATTGAAAGCAACTTCTTGGCCATGAGTTGCTCAACAGGTTCTTCGTGTAAAGTATCTCTAACTCCTGGTAAAAATGGTATATGTTTGTATAGCCTTATCTCTTGTTGTCCTTTCAGAGGGAGAGTGTAATTATCTAGCTCGAGAGAACTCTAGCAGCAATGTGACATTTTATGAACAAAATACCACCGTAAGTCAAAACACAAAATGTTAACGAGCTTTTAATTCAATATTGAATTTCTGACTGGTTGATAATTCTTCAGGAGTGAACAAAGGCGACTGGTGCATGAATTTTCATCAGATGCTAAATAAGCTCAAGGACACTTCCTTTCCATGGCCACGAAATGGAATCAAGTTTGGACAATGAAACGTAGTGGGTACACGTAATTTGTTTTATACGCTTAAAATCGTTAAGTTCCTTACAGCTTGAAAGACTAAGGGCGACTGAATGGGAAAACTGACCCTGAATTGTCAGATACGAGCTGTCTGTTACATGTTTTAGTTTAAATGCTTATAATATTGAGAAAGCAAGAGAGGATGAAGAGTAACAGAATTAATCCCCATAACGAGGCATTCCCTGGGAAGTTCCTCTCAAGTTATTTTTAGAGATCGTACCAAGTCCTTCCGCCGATGATGTAACCAAGCGTAGAGTGTAAATGTTTCCCTAGCGGATGAAACTTTGTGTATAATAAGCCGCTTAGGCTTTCTGCATTATTAAAACTTTCATCGCAGCTATGATTGGCTATTTCTAAACCTTCCTTAGAATTTCCAAAACCGGGAGTGATCTGAAATAAATAACGTTAGAGGGATTGCCGTTAGAAAATAACGACTCTGTATGGGGGATTAACTCTCTTGTTCTTCATCTTCTCTTGCAAGAAGCTATGACTGAGAGGAAAAATGTTTTAGATTAAAGGTCGTAAGAGAAAACGTCATGCTACATATTGCCGGCAGGTTTTGGATATCTGCCCGTTAGTAGACATTTTGATGCATTGATGTACAAAAAGGTGCTTAAAAAAGAAACTTCCATTACATTTTATAAGACTGAAGTCTCTTTTTATTTTGTTTCCAAACAGCGCTGAAAGACTATATGAGGATAATTGTTTCCACAGCTATCATTTTAAGCCTTTTAGCCGTGATATTTTACTGGAAAAGCTGTTCTCTCGATGTGCAATATCATTATATACGATTTACCGATGCAAATCGACTGTTGTACAAATACAGGGGAAACAGCAATCGATCAGGCAAATGCCACAATGTATTAAATCTGATGAGAAATGCTAAATGGATCAAACGTCGAAACCTTACTTCAGTTGATGAAATTCAGCAAAGTCTTACAGAGGTTCAGATTCGAAAAAAACGTGGGATACCGATAATACTACACAGGAGCGACTTGCGATGTGGCGGCGCGCCGTTTTTTCTACATTCACCTCGGTTTGGTTATCAACTTCCCGCCCTCTGTGACATAAACGGATCGGCGCCTTGCTGCAATCACGTGACGAGGTCGTGCGGAATCGACCGAGACCACTGTAACTGCGATCAATGCACTGACTTCAGGAAAGAAATTTCAGCCGAGCTGTTTGACTGGATTCCGATACTTAATGGCTGCAAATTTACCAATTTCAGCAGTGAAGAAGCTTGCAGGCTCATGTCGGACAGGATTTCAAGATTGGTTTTGATAGGTGACTCTTTAGTTAGACACCTCTTCAATGCATTGATGATTTTATTTACAAACGATCACCAACGAGGAAGCCTCAACTTAACCCGTGATCATCACGTGGATCATGGGATAGAGAACTGCGAGGGTGTTATGCAATTTGTCGATGGCGGATCCACCTCATGTCACACAAAAACAGTGACAAGTATTCCTTTGGATACCCAAAGATCATTTTGTAGAGGACAAAACAAATTTGATATCTATTTCAAAGAGTACTATAACATGGACAAAGCACCAGATATTTTGGCAACCGTTCGTCAAAATCTTAACAAAGAGAAAACAATCATTGCTATCGGGGTGGGACTTCATATAGATTTAAACGCAGAGAAAGTGCAAAAGTATATTATAGAACCTGTACTAGAAATTAAGAAATCTTCTGGCTCAATATGGCCGTATATATTATTGATTTCAGTGCACGCCCACGGAAGCCTTAAGGATACATATTACAATATTCCATCCCATAACGACCGAATAGCAAGTTTTAACTTAGACATGGAGAAATATCTCTCAGCATTTGGTATTCCAGTGTTTGATACTTTTAATTTGACTCGCGGTGTTCGGAGTATTGATGGTACACATTTTGGAATGGGTATAAACATGATGAAAGCACAGCTTTTCCTGAATTTCATAAAGGAAACATTCTAGAATATATTGCGGGGATTTATGTTCTTGGTCAACAACTTACACAAACATCAGGCGACGAAAAAGATGTCGACCACGATCGAGTGACAAATGATGGTGAAGATAGCATCTTAAGGTTCTTAAGGGTCCTATAGCGATGTATTTGAATTGTGCGTTGCGGGATTTCCCAAGGCAATGACCATTAATTGTTTAGCAAAAGACAAGTTAATTGTTTATTTATCAATAGCCCATGCAGAGACATCTAATAAATCAATTACCCTACTTAGGAATAAGATGCATGTAATGTAATGCAATGTTAATATTGTAACAATAATTTATTTACATTTTTAAATAGTTTTTGAAAAATAATTAAAAAACCTGGCTAGTGTTTATAATCCCCCTTAAATGGAACAGTGCGGTACATAAGCTTATTGAAGTTTAGTTCTGTCCTTACAGTGGTCCAGTAGCCACAAGTACCTACTACTCACACCTATTGTGGTAACATAGTCTCCAGATGGAAATATTGCCGTATTGAATCCGACAAACGTGTAATGTTTTCAGCGTAACAGGCTATAATAAGTAGAATAAGTGTACTTAAAACGAACTCAGTTTTCTCCCAGGATTTGCTGTTTTGTCAGTGAAAGAGTGAGGTATGTACATGTGCATATGTGTCTGCGGTTATTCCACCAAAATGGAGGATAAGGTACCATTCCTCAGCTACCATGCAGTAAGCTGTTATGATGTGAAATCTCAGCAGTTAGTTAAAAAGAAAAAAAAAAATCAAAAACAAAAAAACAAACGAAACATTTCCGGCAGCTAACAGTTAGCATTTTCACCAATTGTCAGCTTAGTTAACCCCACCCAAGCCCTCAAAAATTTAGCTTTAAAATTACATATAGCATAACAAAATTGGTTGCATATAACATAAGCTGGTCGTTTTTAACATAATCATGTCAAAAATGGCCATTTTTAGAGCAGTCAAAAATGGGCTTAAATGTCTGGATAAATGCTCAGAAAATGTACAAGCTTTTTAGTTTTTCGTCAGCAAATGTAATTGACGTACTGGGCTCTTATGATCATGTTGACTTCTTCTAAGAAGTCGAGGGACATTTGTACAAGCTTCCAGCATAATTTGTACCGGAAGTGGACTATTTGACGTCACAGTTGCCAATCGAGTAGATTAATAACATAGGTGACAAATTAGTCCTTACTTTTGGCACGAAATTTCAGCGTTAATTTCTAAATTCACATGTGAACTTACAAAATTGCCATGGCAACGTTTGGCGCGAAATTTCTCGATACAATAAACAAGTATTCAAATGGTGCGTGTGAAATTAAGAAATAATTTCACTTGCAATTGCGTTTTGTCAGAATTCTGATAATTTCACTCGCCTAAAAGCTTGGAAAGTTTTTAGAATTCTGACAAAACACGCGTGAAATTGTTCCTATTTTCTTTTGTCATTACTTGATTTCCCAACTAATTCAAGCTGTGGAATAAATGGCAATATATTTCTGTCCACCGCAACTTCGTTGACGATCTCCTTGACATGGTAGCTTGCACTCCTCGTCCTTGACCTTCGAATCGTCATTAAAGTAAGCTCCACAAAAACATTCAGACGCCATCAGTAGACCAGCAAAGGAGAAGCTTTTGGAGGCGCAATGGTCAACACAAATATCCGGTGTCATGGCGGGGTGTCCTTCATATCTATACTTGAGCTGCCTGAGTGGGTTTGTATTGTCATAACAACCGACAAACGTCCCACTTGAAGACGTAAAAGAATCTGTGGTAAATAGACAAAAACGTATTGGGAAGAAAATGTTACTTCCTATGTGTATATAAAACCATGGTTGATTAATTTATCACAGTATTGCGCATGCGTGGGAAGGAATGGGGGTTATATGGGGGTACAGAGAAACCTTAAATTCGCGGTTGCTAATTAACAGAAAGTCGCTTCACTTAAGTAATTTAATTCAAGTTACGTAAAGTCACTGTTTTGAAAAATGCGATTTTTTGAAATAGTACAAGTACAGTGGTCTGAAGAAAAACGTCAAACACCATTAGCAAAATCCCTCCTGATGGGTGGGACTGGGGAAGAAAGGGAAAACTTACACTTTGCGGTGATGTCAGAGAAAGGATAATACCCAGGGAAGTACGTAGTAAATAGGTTTTTCGGTTCTTTTTTAACTGTCCGCCTGTAATAGTATTTTAAGGTAACCCACAAAGGGCTAGCAGGGTGAAAGCCAAAGCAAGAGTTCTACCTGATAACTTTGCTTAGTTAAAAGTTAAGCTTTTTCTTACTTGCTTGTCACTAGCAAGCGTTTTGTCGTTTGTTCAACAAAAGAAGAGATTAAAAGAGATAACATATTCCAGCAGATATTTTTTCGTTGACTGTGTTTATGAAACTGTTTGAAGCCGAGGAAACAAGTAACAGCTAGTGGGAAAGGGATTGTTAATTCTCTCTAGACGAAAGCACCAGTAAATGAAAACGGTTAACTTGGCCAATTGTACTTTTGATTGCAGTTAAAAAAATGTCATAGAAAGAGACATCGAGACTGAAAAATCGAACGAACGGGTGAGCGTAGTTGAAAAAAAAAAAAAAACATTCAAAATGTTGTTGCTTATAGTGGTAAATGCGTTTAGTAACAGCTAGCTAGTTCACAGGCATGCCGCTTAAACTGAAAGAAACAAATATTTTAACTAAACACAATTAATAGGCTTAAAAATCCCAACTGGCGGGAGGCAGACCAGTTGGCTATATACCAGCATGACCGAAGAGTTGAACTGGGGTCTACCGAGAAACATCCCCAGCTATAAAGTAATCAGAGCGGAGCTTGAACCCCTGACCTCCGAATTTCAAATCCGGCGCCCTAACCACTCGGCCACGCTGCCTCAGTACATGTAGATGTTAATTGATTGACTTTTTTTCACCTGAAAATCCGGTTTGATTCATTTCGTCGGATTCTGGAAACTCATTGTCGGTGTCTTGCCCGTCATCTTCAGCATCTTGCTGCATTTCACCGAGTAGAACTTTTGGCGTTTTTGCCTTTAATGGTGGAATTTTCGGGCGTTTGGGAGCGGCAAACTGACTGTTTTCCGTGACGGTAGGAGAACCTTTAAAGTAAACGTAGAAATATATTGTTTTAAGGCACTCAAGAAATTTAAGGTCGCCAGCGGCACACTTAAAAAAGGTTACCTTAAGAAAACTAAGGACAACTAAGAGGGTCGAACATAGCTTTTTCTTCAATCCCGCATTCCGCCACTAACTTTGGGTCAATCCCGCCATCTCGCGGGATGCTTTTCATTCCGAATCCCACCGTCAATTTTAAATGAGAAAATTCCGCTCCCCAGAAGTATTTTTATTCCGCATCTCGTCATTAACATTCTTGTCATCCCGCAACCTGCCTTCAGATTTTACTCTCGGCCTTGCATCCCGCCAAACCTATGTTGGGCCCTTGAAACTATGCTGTACTTTGCTCCTTGTGGGTCCAACTGATGTTCAGCCGTTTAAGCATTTTTTTTTTTCATTTTTACTCCAAATCCACAATTGGTTTCCAATTTAAAATTCAAAAAAGATTTTCTGAAAGTGTTGGAGCGTGATGGCTTTTGTTATTTTCAGAGAAATAAGGAAAATGAAATAACTCTAAAGACTGCATTTGTCGAGGAAGCGGTTTTCACTTGAGTGTCGAATATAATTAGTGCATTAGTTTCTATGGTTTTGCGTTACTCCGCTCAGGTTCTAGCTTGATTTTGGTTTTGTGATACTTTTATGCGTTGATTGTATGCCATATGCTTAAGTCTGCGTTCAGTGTGGTGAATGACCACGTCACCAGGCGGGTTAGTGCAGATTTGGAGAAAATCATCTCCTATGAAACAAGCGTGTTGCATATGAGCGCCGAATACTTGTTTGATTAAGCTTTACGTTCCTGCTTCAGTACTACATGTTGCCCTCAAGTGGACCCCTCAAGGCAAGCGGTGCAGAGGATGGTCAAAGACAACCTGGCGGACAACTGCTGTGACTGCGTCTCTCCCGATTGTGCTCGTAAAATGCTGGAAGGTTGCTCATCAGAATGCCAAAAAGTGGCTAAAACATTGCCCAAAATCCAAACCGTTGCTCCTAAATTTCTTGATATTTTTGTACAAACGTTAATTAAAAGCTTTCATTTTCGTTCTTCATAATAATTTCTAACATCAGTCAAGAATAATAGCTTGAAACTTAGCTTTAAAGAGTTGCTCGCAAATATGTGGGAAATTTATGGATACTCAGATTAAGTCTAACGGAACAAAACACATGGTTCATTTTACGTCTTGCCGAACGATAAACCTCAAAAGGTTGATAAACATTCAAGAAATTCGCACAAATTGAAGTTTTCTATGAAATCGTTGGCTTTTTCGTGCTTGATATCTGCCCTAAACCTATATCTTACTCAAAAGTTTCCCAGAAAGGCAAAACTTGCCGACCACTAGCCTCAAAGAGCCTGGCTTGGTCTGGGCGGAGGCTGAAAAGGCCGAGGACTAACGTCGTAACGGCCTTATGTCCCAGCCGGGAAGATATGGGGTTGAGCGAATGTTCAGCACTGCATGGACTACAAGACAGCCTAGTTCTAATCTAAATGTGTCCATTTCATGCGATCTTATAAATGGGTTGATTTAAAGGAACAAATACCTGGCAAATTGATTTCAATGTTAAGTGGGCCATTTCCTGGATCTAATGTAAAGGAGTGCGTGCTGTTTATGCCGTTAGGCAGCTGTAGAATCACGTCATAGTCTCCATAGAAACCACGTACGTCAAAATAGGCGTCGGATTGGATAACGAAGGACGGTGTTAATGTGACATGCGTAGTCCACTGCTTCAAAAGGCTGCGATAACGTAGACCAGCGGAATTAATCTGGACGTTACAATGAGAGAGATTACAAATGAGCCAATAAGGATGAAGGATGTTACACGGGGACTGGAATTGATAAATTTAGCTGGCAACAGGGTAATTACCAACAAAATTGACCTGAAAACTTTGCTTCTGTTTACTTTACCTTGTAACAACTGCTTATGTTGTGTATATAACTGCGATAATCAATCATGTCTTCATACGAAACAAATTCTACCAATTCACAAATGTGTGTCCTACATTTTCCCCGGCAGCCAACGTCCCCTTCACTCAAATCATTGAGACGAACATCAAAAATTATAATATCTATAACCAGCAAAGCCGTGTTATCAAACCATGTCCGTGTAGCATTCGTGTTCAGTTCATCGTAATCTAATAATGCGCGCAAAGAAGATTTTTAACTCTGGACGTAAGGTTCAAACAAAATGGAGGTAAAACTCTTTTTACGCATTTTTACATCACTGTAAACACGCCGAATTTAACAAAACAATAACTGCTATCATTAGATGCATTTTCATCCTTTTTTATTGGTCGAGAGTCCACCACGTGACCTGCAAATAACTGGTCACAAATAATGGTCTGCTAGTGCGTAATTCTGTCTACATGTGCTTTGCTGCAAATAATATTCAGCTCATGTGTAATTGTAACCACGCTCTTTTGCGAATAATGGTAGATCGCTTCCTTGAACAGTCAGAGACTTATTTAAGTATGAAAACAAACTTGGTGATCAAATGGTAAAACAGTTATTGCACTCAGTTATTGCAAAATATTGTGATTTGTCAGTGTCTCACAGAGCAATTATTTGCGTCAGCCTTCAACTTCTGGAAATAATTGATCTGCTCGCCACTGGCAAAGCACCATATTTTGCTCAACCTCTCCCAATAAATGTTGAGTTACACATATGCTGCAATTTTTTCTTACCTCCCAATCGTTACCATCAACAAGAGAAGTGTAGGGTCCTCGCCAAGAACTATAGTTCCAGAAACTCCACAGAATCAGTCCTTGTACGCTTGGAGTGCTGAATGCAGATCGCATGACAGTTTCAAGGTTATCTGCTCGTTTCACGAGGTCCTGCTCAAGAACATCGACTTCCGTCAGCCAAAGAGGAATCTTGATGTCGCTGAGCATTTTCAAACGATACTATAAAGACCACAAAAAAGTAAAAAAATCCAAAATAAAGCATTGAGAGATTAACACAATTCCAAGGAACTGTTGTAAACATTATTCAAACTCATCGTATTGATATCCTGGGGATTATGCAAGTGACAGTATAAAATAATTTACACGTTATCCACCCCATCACTCTGCTCGAGGCCGCGAAAGCGAAGAGGCTAGCGACCCACCCTCCCACCCAACGAGTAAGTCGGGCTTGAACTAGCTGTCAGCTACTTTTTTGCCTGGTCTTGGGCTTGTTCCAAGAACTGGCCTTTTCCAGATGCTCTTATGATCACCTGGAGTAGCGTTGGATTCACGTGACCAGTGAAGTGGCCTTGAACTCCGATCCCGTCCAGTGGAATGCCTCGTAACAGCAAATCCTTAGCTTCCTCGAGAAATGCCTAGAGGAGAAAAACATAACTTGTCAGTGATCGGGTATCTTCAGAGAATTCAATGTAGATAACTGAAAAGCAATAACGGTTGGTGGTTAAAATTATCCAGCGCTCACTGAGCAAAATCACTTGTACTGTAGCTTAGCGATAATATCTGAAATATATCTTAATCATTATTAAAAACTGGATCATTGGGTAATGCAATTCGAGAGTTTTCATTGGCTTAGCCATCATGGGTTTTGGGCCATTATACCATGCTCTACAAATCCGATAAGCCTACGCGTGATTTCTTAGGACGTTTTTATTTTTTTTTTAGTTTAGTTTTCTATATTTTGGGGACGTTTACAATAAAACAATTATTCCACTCGCGCTTGTTGGATATGAGATGATTATAGCCCACTAGGCGCTACGCGATTCGTTGGCTATCTACCTTCTCAAATCCAACACGCGCTCCTGGAATAATTGTTAAAGAGTAGATGAAGAGTAAAGGAGTTAATCCCCTATTTAGGCGTTATTCCCAAGGTAATACCTCTCAAGTTATTTTTAGAACACTCCGGGCTTCAGAAAT